TTACATGGCATGTGTAATAGCTCAGATAAAAATATTTTATAGCCCAAATATGGGTAGTGACAGTGGAAATAGAAATGTGGAATTGACAAGATTTGTTATGAATTAGGTGTGAAAGATAAATGACAGTGAAAAATCAAAGATGATTAAATATAACCAGAAAAGAGACAAGGAAAACTAATTTTTTCCATTAAGTTTATTGGTACATTTTAGGTATACAATACAGTTACATTTATCATTGGGATCTTGTACCTTTACATGATATATCTTGGCTCTTATTTTTTCCCATTCCTCTGCCGTCCCTTCACCTCCCCACCCTTCCCTATTTACAAAGACTTTGTTTCTATTTTTTTTTCTTTTCTCATATATTTTTTTTTTTTTTTTTGTACAGGAGATCAAACTTGGGTCCTTGAGCTTGCGCAGCAGGCGGTGAAACCACTGAGCTAGATCCCTGGCCCTCTTTTCTCATAATTTAAAAAATGTGTTTTAGGGCCGGGGATTTAGCTCAATGGTTCCGGCTCCTGCCTCGAAAGTGCAAGGTCCTGAGTTCAATCCCCAGTACCAAAAAAAAAAAAAAAGTGCTTTCAAGAGTACAACTTCAGGACACAAAGTTTTGCAAGTTTATCAATATCTGTACTCTTTAGGTTTGTTTATGTTTCTTTTCTTCCAGTAGCATCACATACAAAATCCTTTAAAAACAGTAAAAGTATAAACTTAGTTGATCAGGTAAAGGGCAGAAACATGACCATAGTAGAAGGTATCAAAGAATGTGTTTAGAAAAACATTTTAGATCACCCATCTTAAAACAAAATACCCCCAAAATAAAACAAAACAAAACAAAATAAAACAGAAAACACACAATAGACTGGACCCATCTATTTCTCCTGGAAGTGGGGCATCCTTTCACTTGCAAAATGAATCATTATCTTAGTATTTCTACCTGTGGCTGGGCCATGATTTTTTCTTCTGCAAACCAAACCAAACTTTCTATAGATCCACAAATTCCTCAAAATTCCCTCTCTAGAACACATAGATATCCAAGCTCTAGGCTACGGTATACGTCTTTCCTGAGAGCTTGTATTCTATTTCTTTGAGTGTGTACTTTTAAAATTCTTCTTAGTAAATCCCTTTGCCTCTCAAAACAGGAAAAGAGAAAATTTGAGTCAGGTGAGTATAAAAAAATAACCCTATGGATTTTCAACATGGACAGCCAATGACTCTGATAAGAATAGTGTCAGTGGGTGAAAGAGGAAGCCAGGTTAAACAAGATTTATTATTTATGTATTTATAAGATTATAAAAATATTGCAATTAAAATATACATGAGTACTCCAATGCCTAATGTTCTTGTCTGAGTTATTAAAATATATACAAATAGTAATCTTAGAACAGGATCACACATGGCCTTTTAGGGCATGGTGAAGATTTTGGATTTTATTTTAAATGCAGGAATGTTACCAGGTTTCGGGGTGCTGGAGTCTCCTTCTAAAGGTGGTTTCCAGGTTCTTTCTGTTCTTAGCAAAGAACTGGTCAAGATAAATGCAAATGGTAGCATAATTTTACATTTATTAAAGGTAGGAAAAGAAACAGGCTCTGCAGAGTGAGTTTGGACAAAGAAAAAGTAGGAAAATGAGTGTACTCTACAGGACAAGAGTGGGTTACGGTGAGAGAACACAGCAGCCCAGAGTTCAGAGTTTAGTGCCAACTCTCTCTTTGTATCTCCTACTCCTCACAGTGGAGTCAGGTTTGGGCCATCCTATCCAAAACTGCTCGAGTTCTCATGAGAAGACCATGTACAGGGGTTTGAGAAGGGTTCTGTGCCTGTGTCCTGAAACTTTGGAATTAACAGGTCAGGCCTACTTCCCCAGCCAGTCTGCCATGACCTAATTTTCTGCCTCAGTAAAAACAAATATTTAGACAGTAATATTACCTGATATTATTTACATTCTTACCAGATCATTTGACATGATGTATGGAAATAAAAATATAGGATAAATTTTGAATTATAGTATAGTATCAGCTATAAATTATAAGACAACCAGGTGTGGTGGTGCACACCTGTTTCAATCCCAGAACTCTGGGAGGCGGAGGCAGGAGGATCACTGTGAGTTCAAGGGCAGCCTGGGCTACACAGTGAGTTCAAGGTCTGTTTGAATTGCATAGTGAGACCCTGCATAAAAAAAAAAAAAAGGTAGTATGTTTTTTATTTTGGTCCTGGGAACTGAACTCAGGTCCTTCACAATGAGCTATGTACTCAGCCTTTCTTTTTTTCAAGACAGAGACTAGCTAAGAATTTCCAGGACATATTGGGTTCAAACTTGTGATTGTTCTGCCTCAGCCTCCCAGAGTACTGGTATTGAGATCAGAGTTAATGGACAGGAGTTATAATTTTATCAGGCAGTAAAGTCAATACCCCACAAATGGAGTTGAGAAGTCCAAAATAGAGCTTGCTGGGTCACTATCCTTCAGAAATTTGACAAAAACAGCTGCCATGTGTCTGTGGCTGTCAAGGACCTCCCCAGAGCATGATCAGGCAGGCCATGGCTCAAGTGTGCAAACCTCCTGTATGGGCACTTTATGGACACTGCATAGATTGGACCCTGAGAAGTATGCAGTCTCCTATAGCATAGAGATGACACTGTTTGCACAATAGCCCAAGCTCCCTTCTAAACCCCTGAAAATCCCTAGGAAAAGAGTTTCTTGAGTGTTCTGCTCAGAAACTTCTCCCAACTAGCAGGAGTTCTACTCCTTTGCCTTTTTATCTTTTACTTTCTCGCTTTTGTATCTTTTAAATAAATTTGCTTATTTTCTACCTCCTCCACTAGTGATTTCATGGTTTGTAACCTTGAGACACGACTTGACATTCTAACATCAGATTTCAGGTGCAGGCCACCATGACATATGAAAAGTAGTACTTCTTTGGTACTTCATAATTGGGGATATCACAATGTTAGTTTGTTAGGGATTATTTTAGTCAATTTTATTTTGATTTAGATAATACAATGAGATTGGACCAAGTAAAAGTAGCAATTTAACATTCATGCTAAAGAAAGCGTCTGCTATGAATAACTGGGTGTAGAGTTCATGAACGCTAATAGGTCCAACCATTCTGAAAGTATGATTCCCATCTTTAAGGTCTCATTGTTAATTAAGACATTGCTGTTCAAAGAAACCACAACTAAGCACACACTGTTTCAGTCTCATATCCATAGAATGGCAAAGTTAGAAAGTATACCCATGGCCTTTTTGTTCTTCCTTTAGATCATTACTCTAACTTCCTTTTTGAAAATCTTCCTCATCTTCTGTTTACCTTACCTTCTGCTTTTTCATATTCATTACCATACCCACTTGTCATTCATTGAAATTTTAGTTCCAGAATGGAGTTATCTTCTTCATTCCAAATTCTGGTACCATTCTGAATAATTTGGCATCCATGTGTACAGCTTCAAGTAGGAAACATGATTAAACAGCGGTCTGTAAACATGAAAGAGTCTTTCTGAGACAGGCTCTCTAGTAGAGGTGCTCATAGAGTCAGGAATGTCACTAGATACCTTATCAAAATTTATATTTATGTTCTTAGTTGTGTGGGTTTGTTTAACAGTTTCTTTCCCATCAGATTCCAAACTCTGTCATGCAGGAGAACAAGGGTCTTTTGGTTGTTTATTCATTTGTTGGTTTGTCTTGTTTTGTTTTTCATTATGTCCCCAGTGCCTAAGATAGTAGCGCAAAATAGAGGCTCAAAGGATATTTGGTGAATATATTAAAAAGCTAATTAAATAAATGCAACAGAAAAATAAACATAAGGCAGAAAGCTAAATGCCTCTAGTTTTGTATATTTACATTTGTTTTTATTCCTTTAGTTTAAAAAAATATATGAAGCAATTTACTAGCAAATATGTAACAAAATTAAGCAGGTATATTGAAGAGAGAATGTTTACCGAGTATAGGGCTCTTGTACTGCTTCTAGAAATTGGCCACAGTTAAGCTCTTAGCCTCCTAAAAAAATAAGCAAAAGAGAGAAGAGGACATCTGTAAATGTCCTATATTTTATAACATGAAAACAAAAAAAATTGCTCAAATAAGGTTGGAAATTTCCTACTAAAACAGAAAATAATATTCTTCACACATTCTCATGAAATAGGAGTCTTTCACATGTGATAAAACTTTTCTTAACTGTTACTGCGTGATTTTGTAGTGTCCTTCAATAAAACAAAATAATCTAGAAAAAAATTATTCTGTGGGTAAGACAAGGAAAGGAATAATATTTTAAAATGTTTTGAATGAATGAGTAAATGCATTGCCCTCCTAATACCTACTACGTGTGTCCCAGAAAACATACATAATTATATATTTCAAAATGGCCATGAAAGCTTAATCTATATTCCCAAGTCACTGATTTGCTAACAAAATCATATGCCAACACAGAATTGAGAAAAGTTTATTTACTAAGTTTTATTTTTTCCATGAAAGAGAAAAATGCCAAAATTCTGTCTCATTGAAGGGAAAATTTGATTCATTAAACAAGGTCAAAATTTGAGAAACAAGAATCTAAATGTTCTACATCTCAGCCACTTTCCCAAAAGAGTTGAAAATTTGTGCCTACACAAAAACTTTGAATGGGTGTTTATAGCAAATTCATTCACAAAACTTGGAAACAAACAAGATATCTTCTAGTAGGTCAATGGATAAACTGTGACCTAGATATAAGATGGGATATTCATCTTCATTAAAAAGAAATGAGCTATTAAGTCACAGCAAACTTAAATTCACATCCGAAAGTGAATAAAGGCAATGTGAAAGGCAGGGTATTGTGCAATTCAACTATGTGATATTCTGGAAAAAACAAAAGTACAGAGATAGTAAAAAAGGATCTGTGGTGGCCATTTTTGGGGGTCAAGGGCATCAGCAGAGCACAGAGGAGTTTCAGCTCAGTGAAAGTAGTCTATATGATGTAACAATGGTGCATACTTGCCTTATACATTCCATGGAGCCCACAGAGTGCTCATCACTAAAAGTGAGCCCTAAGGGAACTGACTCTCAGGCCATAATGAGGTGTCAAAGTAGTCTCATGGCCTGTTACAAATGTATCACTGATGGAGGTAGCTTCCAACTGGCGAAGATTGGTCTGTGTAAGGACACAGGTATGTAGGAAGACTACCTTCCTTTCAATTTTGTTGTGCATTTAAAACTGCTGTAAATATCAGATATTTTAAAAAACTTTTAACATACTGACTTGTGACAGATGATTTAATGCACTGACTTGTGAGAAAAAAATATTCATAGAAATTTTCATTATTCCTAAATAACAGAATATTTATTTTTAAAAATTCAAGCAATATCAGGCATATAACATAAAAAAATAAAAGCCTCCCTGGGTATGGTGGTACAGTATCTGTTATTTCAGCACTCTGGAAGGCTGAGGCAGGAGTATTGCAATTTAGCGTCTATTCTGGGCAGCTTGAAGATGTAGCAAGAACCTCTCTTGAAAACAAGCAAGCAAAGGCTGGGATATAACTCAGTGTGAAAGCCCTGGGTTCAGTTTCTAGTACCATAGATAGATAAATAGATAGATGATAGATAAATAGAAATAGATCAACCATCTGTGCTTCTAACCTCCTCACATCCCCTGTATCCCATGATGGAAACATGTATGCACATGTACGTGTCTCTGTGTTTACACTGAACAAAAACTGGAGTCACTCCATGCATTTTAGTATGCATTTTTCTTCTTTTTCAAGGCAGTGAATTTTAAATTTTTCATGTCATGATATATACATATATATAACATAAATATATAAAAATAATGAAAAATTTCCTATTGACATATGTTTATTTAGTTTCTAGTTTTTTGTTACAGCAATGTATGAGTTTGCATCAATATACTTTTAAATATTTTCACACTGTGCATATAGTTCTCTATTTTGGATCCATCAAAGGTTTACAAATTTTCCCCTATTGATGTATAATTAGATAATTTACATCTTTTCTTTAATCATAATGTTGTAATAAGTATAATCATAAATGTATGCTGTTGTATCCATGGATTTGGGTTTGATAGATTGGTACAAGTCTAATTTCTGAGTCTAAATGTGAGCACTACTTACATTTGTATATATTTAGCCACATTATTCTCTAAAATAGACTACGCCAATACTAATTCTACCTTAGCATTGCCAGAATACATTGGACATTATGAGTCTTCTAAACTTTCACTAATCATTGATTTAAAAATGATATCATTTCATTTTTAAAATTTTCACTCATTCCATTACTTGTGAGGTTGAATACATATGTGTCAATTGTTTAAAATTTGCTTTTGGCCAGTGATTTCATATGCTTTGACATTTTGTGCACAAGTTGGTTTTCACTGATTTTCAATGGTTATAAAAAGGCATAATTAGTTGTTGCCTTTTCCAACATATTGTCTCTAAATTCATTTTGTAAAATTTAATTTTTATGTATTTACACATATCTATATGTTTTCTTCATTTGTTCTGGGTTATGTAAAGTTTAGGAAAGTTCCCTACACTCCAGGATTTTACATATGGTTGCTTGCTTGCTTTCTTTTCTTTCTTTCTTTCTTTCTTTCTTTCTTTCTTCCTTTCTTTCTTTCTTTTTCTTTTCTTTCTTTCCTTTCTTTTTTCCTCATATATATATATGTATATGTATATATGTAGTATCTGATAAATGAATTTATCTGTATTTCAATTAGGGATATACTGTTCTATGATGCCTTATATTTCATTGCTGAATGAGCACATCCATTCTTAAATCTAGACATACTCATGCAGAAAATAATTGAGATAAGTTTGACAGTCAGTCTGTAAATTTGTAAAGTGGAGTTAGTTTTTTCCTATACATTTTTAGATTATTTTAAAATCTTAATTTTTAGATTATTGTCATGATTAAAATGATATATAATTTTATTAATATTTTCATTATAGTCTATGGTAAAATGCAAAGTTTTTCATATATGTTTCAAATTTTTCCCATTATATAGTCACTTTATACCATTTTGTCACATCTGCTCATAAAACAGAATAATAGTTATTAGCCAGTTTTCTGTTGATAAGACAAAATAGCTGATAAACACAACTGAAAAAAGGAAAAACTCATCTTGGTACATGGTTTCAGAGGTTTCAGTCAATGGTCAGATGGCTCTATTGCTTTTAGGCCAATTTTGAGGCAGAAACATCATGGCAGAAGGGTGTGGCATTTCATGGAAACCATAAGGAAGAAGAAGAAAACCCACAAAGAAACAGGATTGGGGCAGAGACTATTCACTGAGGTCAGGATCCCCAGCTCCTCATTTTCCATTACCTCCCCAAAACATCATCAAATTATAATCACATTATAACAAATTATAACACATGAGACTTTTGAAGATATTTTGGGGCTAAAATGTAAAAAATAGTACATAAAAATAATTTTAGGCTATTGATTATGTGCCTAACCTTGAAAATGCATACATTTAGGTTTATCAAACACATGCAGCAGGACACATTTGTTGATTGCATTCAGTCACTTAAACTTTACCAAACACCTGTAAATTATTATCTCCATTTCAGAGAATGATGAACAAACCAAGGGTTATTTTCTGATGACTAGTGGTGGAGGGATTCAAGTCCAATCTACCTGTCTCTATATTCTTTTCTTTAAATCTTTTAATAAACATTTTATTTTAAATTAAAGTAAATTTTAGAAACTAACGCTTTTTCAAGTTTCCCATCCCACACAAATTCAGTTATGTGCAATTATTTTGAAAGTAAATTTTAATGGTGCAGGATCATTGTACAAGTTCATTTCAAATATGGTTCATGTCTTTAACCCTGTGGTACCACATAGCTCTGCTTTCAAACAGTATATTAAAAATAAGCACCTGTAATCCTAGCACTTGGGAGGCTGAGGCAGGAGGAGGCCAGCCTGGGCTAAATAGTGAGTTCAAGACCAGCCTGAACTGCATAGTGAGACCCTGTATCAAAACAAAAACAAAAACAACCAATGCAAACATAGTAGTTATAAAGAAACAGAACTTGAGTTACTTCAACTCTATCATTCTGGGTAAATCAACTTGAATTTTTATTTGTGTTAGCATACGGTAAAATAGTTCAAACTGGAAGGTGTAGTAATTTTGATTGGTAAATACAAATTTCAGTTCACATATGTATGTATCTACATATGTTATTTATTTATTTATTTATTTATTTATTCATTTATTTATTATGAGTCCTAGGGATTGAATTCAGGGCCTTTGCACTGAGCT